ACTGAAAGCTCAGAGGCCGGCAAGGCAGGCGGGGAACGTTGGCTTCCTCCGTCACTGAAGCAAGCAAGCCTCCTGTTCACTTCAAGCTGCCTAGCTGCTGGCCGCCATCTTGGTTGGCAGTTAATTTGCATATCGCCCTGATTAGCCAATGGGAAGGGTAGCGGAGGTACGGCTAATTACCATGTTTCTCTATTATTAGATAGGATGATCTGCCCAATTCTGAGACCTGAAGGTCAGATTGGATGGGGAGTGAAGGTGGAGAGACTCAAATGAGTTACCACACATCAATCAGCCAAAAATGGAACTACCAGTATTAGCTATAGTGATTTATTTTTTCCAAAACAAAATTTCAATTTAACTAATACTTGGGGAAATAACAAAATATTTGATTAGTAAGTTGGTTATGTTAATTATAGATTACTAAAATGAGAAATGAACAAGAGTTTTACAAAAGGGAGATAGGAAAGTTCAAATATTATGTGTAGTATGCAATAAGAACCAGATAAAAAATAGGTGTTGCAAAAGACATGTACTGTCCTATAGCTGAGTTACAGATCACCTAAGCAATATTACAATACAGGCTAGTACCCCAGGAGAACCATTTAGTTAGCATGTCGCTAACCAACTGAACCTTTGAACTGAGAGGCAAAATCAGTGACATCCCAAAGAAGTAGTCTCCTAGTGTCAGAATAAGGAGATGGATTCTCTCCCCCTTGCTTGGTTCCTAATCTTCCTCTGTGCAACCCTAGCAGACATCTAGAACTGGTTTTGCTAATTGGCCTTTGCTTGTCCCCCCAAAAGTATTCCCCATTATAGAGTTACTTCTGGTTTTAAAGACCTAATAACATAGGAAACAAAGGATAGAGAATTACCCTTTGAATGTGGTACCAAAAAGAAATGCATAGGAGGAAATTCTGCTGCACTGACAGTATAGAACATATTTATTTACCTGTTGGTTCCAGGGGCTGCTACCCAGTGTACTTTCTAAGTCCTAGAATTAATACCAAAGTGGTAAGAATAAAACGAGGGACTTTTCCCAATGGATAGGGTTGGCACAAGACTTCCTGACTGAATCAATAGACAAATGAATAAACAAACACTGAAATGATTGTTTGATTTCATATCAGACATCCCATTGAATCCCATCAATTAAAGCCAGGTGTCCTCTACAAGTGTAAATGATGGAACAACTTAAAGAAAGGGACCTAAACTATCCTATATAATAAAAGGCTAATATGCAAATCAAACGGCAGAATGACCGGTTGCTATGATGTGCACTGACCACCAGGGGGCAGACGCTCAATGCAGGAGCTGCCCCCAGTGGCCAATGTGCTCCCACAGGGGGAGCACCGCTCAGCCAGAAGCCAGGCTCATGGCTGGTGAGCGTAGTGGTAGTGGCGAGAGCCTCTCCCGCCTCCATGGCAGCACTAAAGATGTCCAACTGATGGCTTAGGCGGGCCTAAGCCATCAGTCGGACATCCCGTGAGGGCTCCTGCACTGTGAGAGGGTGCAGGTGGGCTGAGGGACCCCTCACCAAGTGCACAAATGTTGTGCACTGGGCCTCTAGTAATTCAATATTGAAGAGGTTTTAAGTTGGTAAGGAAGGAGCCTAGGAATGCCTAAGTTATCCGATATCATAGAAATAAAAATATTAAGAATAAGAGTAATTCTGATTGCTTTATTAAAACATTTCTCACATAGTTCCTTACAAAAACACCATGTCTATAAAAGGTTACTCAACAAATATCAAAACCTTCCATGTATAGGACACTTATCAAAAAAGACAGAGGATCCATGTTCTTGGTTCTTAATATAACTCCGAAATATTTAAAATTCTGAAAGGTTAATTAACAAATCTTAAATTTTACTTCACTTACAATTTCAGTAGTGCTGAATTTTGATTTAGTATTGTACTTGTAGTGCTATCCCTATTTTTTTGTTCACAAGAAAAGAAGCATATCATTCTCTTGCTATCTGAAATATGTTTATATGGTTTAGCTGTATGTTTACATAAATATATTTATACTTGTGTAAAACAAAATTTTCTGAGTTGTAAATAAATTTAAAAAAATAAGTAAACTAAAGCAATATAAAAGTTAAAATTACAATACATTTAACCCATAATGCCAAAATTTTGGATCATCTTCATGAAAGAAATGTACGAACTGTACCCTTGATTGTACCTCTACAAATAGGACATTTTCTTAGAGAAGGGGCACAATCTTTGCATACTACTAGATGACCACACGGAATAAACACTATGGAAACTTCTTTGTCCATACACACTTTGCATGTTCTTTCTTCTTGTAGTCTCCTCAATTGTTCTTCTATTGGTAAGTCTAAGAAGAGAAATAAATTTTTAATAAAAGGCAATTTGGTGCTTCTCTCCCAATGAAAAGCCAAGAAAATAAAAATAATGTTTTCTACTGGCTTAAATCATTAATACTATTTTACCTGAAACATTTTCTGTGGGAACATACTTTATGTCCTGTTGCACTAAGGAGGAAAAGAAAAAAGCATTACTAGGGCAAGTAAGGTCAGTATTTAGTCACAGAATACATATTTTTAAAGTAACAGTTTAGACTCCAGCCAAATGCTAGAAATAATTGTCATCATGTCAAGGCAACAAAAGTCTTTAGTCTTTTGTGCAATTAATAGTTTATATATTTGATTGGATTTTTTCAATAATCACAATTATTAATAAGCATATTTTCCATTGATCTAGAAAGTTCTCAAAAGTAATTTTCTAGCACTCACCAAATAGACGCTTGTATAACGTGGGGTCATTTTCTTGTAGAGAGTTTCTGAATACGGTGGCTGCAAAATTTCCTTTTACTATAATAGTATCAATCAGTTCTCTTGCTTGCAGAGTTGTCTGCGTTTTCAGTCTAATAATATCATGTTCTTGTTCATGAATCACTCCGGCAATTAGTAGACTATCCAGGATTGGAACCACACAAGTCAAATGTTGAGAAAGCGCCATCCTGTTCTTCCGGATATATGACAGATCATCTTTGTGAAAAAGAACACAAACATGTTCAATCTCTATTCACAAACTTCCTTCCACACCTACACATATAACTGAATGAAAAAAATGACCATAATTCATAATCAGGCATTAAAGTTGATTGCTAGGTTTAGGGGTACCAAACCCCCTGTGTCTAATAACAATGTTACGGACTAACACTTACTGAGCACTGTGGTAAGCACTGAGAGTGTATTTACTCATTTCATCTTCACAACAGCCCTTTGAGGTAGATACTAGTATTTTAATTTAACAGATGAGAAAACAGAGGTACAATGTGGCAAGTAAATTACTTGAGGACACACAACTAGCAAAAGTCAAACCAAGGGAGTCTGGCATCATAATCTGTGCTCTCAACCATTTGGCAATACTGCTATAAAATACAATTTAGAACCTAATAAAATTGAAATTTCTATTTAACCTAGTCAAACTGGGGGAAAAATAAGATAGTTAAAATGATATAATATTTTTCTTAAATTACATTTACGCATAAAATTCCTTTAAATTTCCATTTTAAGATGAAATTTTTAGTTATTTTCCTAAATTAGACATGATATTGCCATTACCTAAATATTTTGCAGTAAAAGGGGAAAGACATTAAGAGCATTTTGAAAACTAAATGCTACTTGTCAATGACACATTCCTGTCATTTAGGATCACTGTATTCTCTGAGATCTAGATTTTTTTATCTACTGGTGAAATGTTTCCTATTTTGAAGCTCTGAAATTTTATTATCTTTTATTCTAAATTTAATAATTATCATATAGTTTTACCATGATCCATAAAACTATTTCTATGAAGTAACTAAGAACAGAAGTTAGGTTGTCTAAAGAAGTATTTGGGAGAGATTTCCAGATTTTAGAAGCACTGACTTTGTCAAGTAAAAGGACACAAAAATAGAACAATGTAATAAATAATAAAATATAGGGTTTAGTAAAAAAGTCAAGGTTAGAGATATACATTTTCAAGATAATTGAAGCTCTGAGAATAAATGAGAATTGAAGCTCTGAGAATAAATAAAAGATCTGAGAATAAACCTAGAGCAGTATCTGGCACAAGATCAATGCTCCAAAAATATAGATTGAACAAATGAACAACCAAGCCTTAGTAATTTAAAGAGCAATGGGAACAAAGAAGTAATAGAGGGGGAGAAGAATTAGAACTTAATTTATTCTGTTAAAGTATCTGTGTTAGAGAAATAGTGATATATTAAAAATTAAGATATAATTTACAACTTGATGTTGAAGTATATTAGTTTTTCAATCTAAGATTAATGTTTCTAATTTCATGTTATTTAACCTAATGTAATCAATTTGCTGAAATTCTTAAGATGTCTAAAATTGGATTGCTAGTGGCTGTATGAAAAAGTCTCATTTCAAAGTCATAGATCCTATTCTGGCTTCTAAGGTGAAAATACTTTAGAGGCATTTTATTCTCTTATTCTGGAAAAATATCCTTAATTTCCTCTTTATTTACACCCCTGTCAAGAAATTACCCACTGTTCTCAGAAAACTTTAAAATAATCAGTAACCTAAATGGAAGTATTTTCATTCACTCATTCAAAGAACATTTCTTGAATGCAGACACTATGTGGGTAGTGTGGGTATAATGTTGAGCCTGAGAAGGGATCTTTTTGACAATGCGTATTATTGTATACTAGAGGCCCGATGCATGAAATTCATGCACAGGTAGGGTCCCTAGGCCTGGCCAGTGATCAGGGCCGATCGGAGCCTTCTGGCTGCCAGCCGGGGCCTTCCTTCATTCTTCACTGCCCCCTGGTGGTCAGCACACATCATAGCAAGTGATAGAACTCCCAGTCGAACTCCCGCAGGGACACTTTGCATATTACTAGACTTTTATATATATAGATTGTTGAATTAGGGTTATAGCTGGAGACTTTGTTGATTTTCTTCAGAGGAAACATAAGTATTTTATAGCTGGATGGCTTTAGACTTCATGGAGTCTATAAACAATTGTGGAAATGAATGTTCTCTTCTTTGAGCAATTGTTCACTGATGACCAATAGCCAAACTGAGAAGACTATAGGAAGGGTTTGCAGCCTGATCTTCACTTCATAATGAAAAAGAGAACTTGAGTAGGGTGGGCAAAGATGAACTTGGACTATTTTGCTACTTGAATTGGTGTGTAAGACTATAACTCACACTTTGGTAAATAAATAATGCTGTATTACTATAGTCTGATATGTTTGCCTGGGTTGGCCAGAAGGCAAAGCCACCTTAGTGGGCAAGAGTAGGTTTACTCAGGAATGGAGTAAACAATCTCACTGTCAATCATCCTGGAAAGAACTAGATCCCAGATGGCCTTGGGAATAAGAATAAGGGGCAACCTCTTTTCTCCTTCTGGGCTTAGTGGATATTTGGGGACCTGAGCCTTGATTAGGGAAAACATGCTTTCCTGGTCATTAGTATAAACTGGCCAGAGCTATGCAGAGATAAACCAAAAGCTAGGAAGAGAGATTTGTGAGGATGAGCCATTTGTGCCATAGTGCTCTTCTGTTATCCCTTGTTATCCTTAAAAGTTGAGCTTGTTAAAAGTTGCAGTCTGTTTTTAGCTATGTTGAAAGGACTCTCAGAACTGGTCCATGCTTGGGGAAGAGTGGCAAAGGAGAGATCATCTCTTTGTCTAGGCCACAGTGATGGGAGCAATGAGAGCAACCAGTTGAGACCGGACATGCTCTGAGGAAGAGTTTTGGTAAAAGGCAATATAGTAAAAGCAATAGAGTAGCAGACAAAGCTAGTATGGAAGGACATGGGTAAGTTATCTCGAGAGAATGTGAAACAGTACCTATCTTAGGACTCCCCTAAATACTAGACGGACACTAGGAAGGAAAACTCAGCTCTTGTACAGGCAGGTAGGAGACTTCATCATAATTTGTACATTAATTTATAGTCATAGGCTAAAACATACTGCTATGCCGATATTAAAATTAATAATTGTTACTGATCCCATCCCAATTTAAAGCAAGCAACTGGCCTGGGGTTAAAAGCATGCCAAGAATTGCATGCACAATCAACTACCCAGAATCCTATCTAATAAAAAAGTGATATGTAAATTAACCATCACTCTGTGACAAAGATGGCGGTGCCCATAGTGGCAGCGTTGCCCTGGCAATGCGAGCCCAGCGTCCGCGCCCAGCTGCGCAGAGAGAAGGGAGGGGAGGGGCCCCGGCCACACAGAGGGAAGGGTGGGGCCTTGGGCCAGACTGGGGTGAGTTGGAGAGGATGCAGCCTGGGCTGAGGGACACACCCTCTCTCACTCACACACACACACACACACACACACACACACACACAGTGCACGAATTTCGTGCACCAGGCCTTTAGTAAAAATATAAATTAAGAAAAAGCAGGAAAAAAATGCTCTCATTAAGTATATTCATTTCAATTTACTAAGCAATTAAAATATATTTTAATGTGAAGAAATTTTTCAGAATACTAATCATAAGAAAAATCTGATTGAATTAACTGTGAGTATATTTTCAATAACTTATATGCAGTGACATCAAATTCTTATGGAAATAGAGACTGTACTAACAAATATGTGTACCTGATTCTTCTTCCTCAGTTGCTCTTTCTTTCTCCTCTTCCCTTATTTCATCTTCAGCATAAAGTAAATCTAATACAAGATCACTGACGATTTTATAATTCTCCCCAGTTGTTAGAATTTTACTCTGAACTGTCTGTTTTACCAGCCTTCTACTGAAGCCCATGTCCAAGGCAGCTGTAACCACAGGTGTATTCATCATGACTGCATCTTCCGAATGGTTTTCTCCAGGTCCATAATGAATAACTATATGGAATAAAGAATTTAACACATATTGGGATAATCTGTATTTTTTTAAATTAAAAGTTATTACAATTTCAAAAACATAACGCCCAAGAAACATAAAGGTACTATTTTGTATTAACTTCGTTAAATTTAAAATAATGATAAGTACGTTCCGTCACTAGAGTAAGAATATGGAATATTGTATTCAGATACAAAATATGCATTATCCGGCATAACTATGAGTATGAGAAGGCAATGGAATGTTGGGGATCACCCCCAGCAGAACAGAGGTCCTTTTTTCCCATGTTGAATGAACAAATGAGCTTTCTAAATCAAATATGTTTCACATATTCCCAAAAGAGGCCATTGTCATCACTCACCTTTATTACTGCAATGGCCTCTTTCAGTATTGCTCCCATCTAGTTCATTCTCAACACTGCAGCCAGAGTGACATTTTAAAAACAGAGATCTGATTGTGTCACACTCCTTGAATTCCACCAACAATTCTGCTGCCCTTAGGATTGTGGCGTGTAAGGTCACACACCATCTCTGGACCCTGTTTACTTCTTCATCCTTACCTCTCGCCACTTGTTCATTTGCATAGTACACTCTAGCCCAGGAGCTGCAAACTGATGGATTTCTCACCATTTCCTCATTTTATTCTGTACCCTAGTCCAGAAGTCACAAATTCTGCCTGCAGTGCTGACTACTCTTACTGCTGACCTGGTTCATTCATTTATCTGTTTGCAAGTCCTACTTCTGGCCATACAGAGTTTTGTTCAGTTCTTCAAATGTGCCTGTTCTCTTTTGTCTCTGAAGTCTTTCTGCCTGGAATATTCTTTCTTCCCTTTGTCACTTGGTTAACTCCTATTGGTCCCTGTGATTCTATGATAAGACCAATACTTCTCTCATCTGAAGCCTTTTCTGATCTTTCCTCAGGCACTCTCAGAGCACACTTCACCTTTCCCACCACATCCCTCTCTCCTATCTATGTATTTGTCTGTCTCCCGTTGCCTATTAGCTCATGAGAACAGGAGTTATGTTTATCCTGTTCTCTAGCCTAACCTCAGAAGAGCAGATACACAATAAATATTCATTGACTTTAATTGAACACTAGATAGTAGAATAGAAGTGCTTGTTCCAATATAGGCTCTATCACCTTTTAGGTTTAAGGTGATGGACAGATCACGTAACCTCTCTGAGCCTCGGAGTCCCTATTTGACAATAAATAGTATTTTCTACCCTCTCCATTTCATGGAAAGAATATGTGAGCAAGCTAATGTTACAGTGCATCTGTTCCTACCCTGGTCTGAGAACAAGGGTTAGGCTAGATGTATGTAAGTTTGTTAAAACAACAGATGCTCAAGCCCTGCCCTTAGATAACTATGATTTAATTCAGTAGGTTTGAAATGGAGACTAGAAATCTGTAATATTTTTTTAAAGTTCCTTAGGCAATTATGATATGCCCTAAAGTTTGAGAAATACCAGCTTAATGTATTTGAAAATGTACTGTAAATTATAAATCATACCACAAATATACGTATATTATAACTATTATCAAATTTCTATCGTAACAGTACCAAGTGGTTCTATTTAAATGTGGCAATTATTATCATTGTACATACTTGGTAACTCTGCATTTTCATCTTCTGGATTCTCTGAAGTAGATAACAGCTACAGGGGGGAAAAGGTATAAAATTAAAATATAAATCTTATCCTGTCCATTGCAACAAAAATAAATCAAGAGGCCTATTTTATTCAACTTACTGACTTGTTTATTGGCAAAATAATTTTTATATCAAAAGCACTATTTTCAGCAGTAATTTCCTAAGCCATAAACTAATAGCATTTCTTTGGGTATGTGTGTGTATATATTAACATATAAATTCTATTTTTATTAAGGCAGGAGAAGGGCTAGATCTTTTCAGTGATCTACGACATTCATTGTTTGCCTTTCATCCCAAATATCAGACATTTCCTGGATCAGTTGGACCCTTTATCAGTTCCATTTGCTATGCTTAGAAAGTGTTTGGTCCTCAACACTACTATATAAATTCTTTTTAAAAAATATATTTTTATTGATTTCAGAGAGGAAGGGAGAGGGAATAGGAGAGAGAGATAGAAACATCAGTGATGAGAGAATCACTGACTGGCTGCTTCCTGCATGCCTCACACTGGGGATCGAGTCTGCAACCTGGGAATGTGCCCTGACCGAGAATCGAACCAGGACTCGAACCGGGACGTCTTGGTTCATAGGTCGATGCTCAACCACTGAGCCACACCGGCTGGGCTATATAAATTCTTATTTGTTTTTTCAGGAAGATTAGAAAGAGGAATACAATTCTCTTTCTCAAATCTTTTTAAGAAAAATTAATATAGTAAACCATTATAATTCTACCATCCCCTCCACCCATTTTTTGCCTCAAATTTTATTGCAACTTCCTTAGAAAAATGCTTAGAGAGAAATATTAACTTAAATATTATTTTTCAGGAGGTTTCTAATTCTGAATCTGTTTTTATCCTAAAAATAGTACTCTAAGATCATGCTGGGTGTTGTAAAAAAGAAAACTTTTTTTTTTTTTTTGGTAATTCTTACCCAAGGACATTTTTTCCATTTATTTTTAGAGAGTGGACGGGATGGAGGGAGGGGAAGAAAGAAGAGAGAGGAGGAGAAAGGAGAGAGAGAGAGAAATATCGATGTCGATCTATGGAACCAGGGATCAAACTTGCAACTTAGGTACATGCCCTTCCCTGGGAATCCAACTGGAGACCCTTAGGTGGGTGGGCGGGCACTCTAACCACTGAGCACACCGGCCAGGGCAGAAAATGTATTTTTAAAGCAAGTCTTGCCTTTGTAGTAAAATACTACTCTCTAATTATTATAAAATATTTTATCTGTTGTTAAGCAACGATTAAAAAACTAATAAAGTCCCTACCTGTTCAAGTAGATGAGGGTAATTGGCTTGAACTCGACTGATGAACTCTTGTCCTTTAACTCGTATCAAGTACTCACACCTAAAATGTAAGCAAAATTAAGTTTGAGGAGTTATTTGAATCTGGCCGTTTGTAGACTGCTACACATTTTAAATTAACACAGATATGCATATAACCATTTGACTAATCATGCAGCATATGAGAAGTGTTAAGAGACACTGCAAAGGCGAGATGATGTAAGCAAGAAGGCTGTAACTGGTAATACTGTTCATAAATTAGCTTTATATGCTTAAAAGATGAAAATATACAAAGGGGGACAAGAAGAAAGAATGAGGAAGCTAAACATTTTTTATTAAGTCAGATATTCACAAGTTTGACATTTCCTAGATAATACACATCCATTGTCAAATTTAAGTACTAAATTAATTCATGACACTACCAAAGCAAATTTACCGTTCTTTTTACATATTCACAAAAAGCAGCACTTTTTAAGACATCTATGTAAAGTATTCTTTATCCCTTCATAATTTTTGAAATCTGAAATATTTGGGGAGCACTATGTTGCTGCAAATGAAGATACAGTTTTATATTTTTAAAAAGCATATGTAATGAAAAGAAGTTAGGATTTCAAGTTTAGTAATCACCATTAAATATACTAAAAGTTTTGACCATGAAAAATATAATTATAGCCACCTGATTTTAATAAAAAAAGGAGAGTGTAAACAAGTATGGAATAATCAAAAGTATAAGACATGACAATAAAAAGCTAGGTAGTGATCAAAAAGCTAGATGTGATGGGTATTCTTCTCAGTTTCTTTTTATCCATAGTACTTATTACCTTCCAACATGCTACATAACTTCTTTATTAAGGAGTTATGTAGCATGTAAAATCAGTATGAAACCATAAGTCTTGGTTTTGTCCCACTGAGTATTTTAAGTGCCCGGAACAATGCCTGGCAATAGATGGTTGATTAATATTATTGAATGTTGAATGAATGAAAATATGTCCAAGATATAAAATTGATTGAAAAAAAAGCCTCAAAACAATATATATAATATATAATTCATGTAGAGAAATTATATACATTTATCTATATACAGAGTGTCCCAAAACACTTCAACAGTTGATAGCTCAATTTTGAAAATGAAATGTGTTTTAATAAACACTGCTTTTATAATTATTCAAAGTGTATACATTTTGGGGGGACACCCTATATGTACATATGCGTAAAGAGATTTTGGAGGATGTTCACTAAAATGGTAGCTGTAGCCATCTTTAGGTTGTGAGTTCTGGGTATTTTAAATTTTTTGTCTCTGTACTTGTTTATAACATGTGATTTTGGTTTTATAATGAGCATATATTAAAATATATACTAATTATACAAAAAATCCTAAATTTATTTCTTCTTTGTCTTAAATTTCCATCAAAATATTTTAAGTAATTATTTTTCTAAGCAATGCATCCTAAATTTATTCACAAATGTATGTCTGAAACAAAGAATCAACTAATGGCTGACTACAAGGTAAACACATATAACCCATCTCATAATAATCACACACATTTGCAAAGAGAATTTCAAAACAATTACCTTGGAAACCATTTGGCATGTTGTACCCATGGGTCATCTCCAGATTCCCAACACCTCAGTCCACCATCACAGCAAAAGCATTTGACATCATCATTGTGACCTAAAATTGATGTTGCACCAAAACTTATAATTTGCCCACTGAAATGCATAAAACATTTTGAATTTTTTTAGATTAAGTTTCTTACCCATATAATAAAAACCTGCACTTGCAAGCTGCTTAGGATGAACTCCAACAGTAGAGGGCCAGTTACAGAATGTTCTGAAACGGGCGGCCTGCGTCTGCATGCTCAGATTAGAAACACTGTATCTGGAAGTGTCTTGAGGCCGACTTTCTAAAAACGGGCAGTGGGGGAAATGTCTCAGGTGTTCCGACATAGCATCATCCTTTGGTTCCCAGTTGCTCAGTTTTCCACCACAGGCAAAGCAAGCCACTCTGTCTCCAGGTCCTATGTAGTAAAAACCCGCTTTTGCCAGATCAGTTGGTGACAGGAAGGTCAATGGCCACGTCTGGAAAGTAAGTAACCTGGCGTGTTCCGTATTCATTATACAGTGGTTGGGACTTCTCAAGGCAGACACATCGTGATTTGGTTCAGAGTTCACAGGACTTGAGGGGAAGCTGGAATAAGAGCCACTGAAATAACCACTGTTTTCCGAACTTGGAAATACTGAATGTGTGGAATTTGTTCCCGAAGAAGGCAAATTAAGCGGAGAGGTGGCTCCCGAAATGTTACCGGAATTTAGTTTCTGAAGAAAACCACAGCTAGGGTACAACTTTTTATGCTTTTCAATCGGTTTGTCTCCTTGTTTCCAGTTATCCAGCATCAGGCCACAGCAGAAGCATTTGACCTTGTCATTCACACCAGTGTAATAAAAACCAGCGCGAGCAAGACTCCTTTCGGACACAAGAACACCAGCGGGGAAAGTCGAGTACGTAGACATTCGGTATAGTTCACAGGAAAAGTCATATTTCATTTCAGACATGTTGGCGCTTTTCATCAGCTTTGATAAGAATTCGCTGTTTTCTACGAGGTTCATAAAGAAATGGATGGGGAGGAAAAGGGACTAGCCTTTCTCTAGGGAGGTAGTTTTGTGCATGGCTTTGATTTTTCTAGTTTTAGTTCTAGGTTGAACACCTAGAACGGAAATATTTTGTTCTTTTTTTCTCCTCTGTCTTCAGGGTTTCAGCACAGCAAGATCAAAATCCTGCATTGACACATCTTAAGGAACAATTATGTATAACAGCACCTTTGTATGAGCATACAATGTAAGCATGACGCCCTATAGTACCTTGTGATGAAAATGCAAAGCCTTCGCAAGTGTAGAGAGCTTTGGGTCAGCAAGATGCCATTTAGTGTGAGGCACTTCAACAGGCAGGTCAGTGCACTAGAAGAACGCTTCAGTGACATTCAGCCAGCCTATCGATAAAACGTCTGACTCACACAGCTAGCTTGCTCCCATGGTGGAAAGTTATGCTGGATAAGTGCTCTACAGAAAATAAATATTCTAACTATGTTTGTTTTGCTTTATTTAGATTGTGAAATTTGGTGGTGGGGGGCGGTAGAAAGCATAAGAGAAAAAGAATGCATGCCATAGTTCACTGACTCTAAGATGCATATTTTAATATCTGTTATAGAGAGGTATCTTAAAATTAATGCCATATCATATTTTAATTAGCAGCATTTTTATTTCTTAGAGGTATATAAAATTATAGTATACCTTATAATTGGTGACATCTTAGATTCAGTGACATATAGTATATCCCAAATCTTGCTCAGATTAGGTAATTTTTCTTCCTACAATCATTTTAATGGGGAGAACAAAGCAATCCAAACTTTTCTTCCAGATAGAGCTTAAGTCGTAACAGAATTAACTGATACATCTTAAGGCATAGTTTTAAAATTTATTAAAGAATAATTATTTCTCATAAATAGTCAGGAACCTGGTTGCTTTGCAATAGCGATACCATTAGATCTTACTTAGCAAATTAGACATTCCATTTTATTTGCTCAATGGGTCTCCTAAATTCAGCTTCATGCTGTTGAGAGCCAACATCAAATCTTCTACTCTGATAGTGGATTTAGTTTTAAGACAACCAAAAGTGCCAAGTCTGTAGGTTAAGATGGATAGCCAAATACAAATATGGCATGGTCAGAAAATATTCCACAGATAGCATACCTTGAACTGGAATTTATCAAGACAAAATAATAATAAATTTACTTTGTCACATCCACTCCTTTTGAACAGCAGAGACCGAAAAACTCAGAATATCTCAATTATGACTAGCTACTAGTGAATAGGTTCTGCATCAATAATATCAGCAATGACCAATAAACAAATCATCATGGTTTTTCTAGCAGTGATTTGTAAGCATGGTTTCCTGTTGGGATCTTTCTTTTCTTTCTTTTGTTTTTGTTTTTGTTTTTATACTGGGATTTTCCACTGCAGACTTTAATGCTTTATTTCCAGGTGGCAAAACACACACACACACAAAAAAAACATATCTCAAAGGTGAGTTATTGTATCTAATTTTAGTTTTTCACTGGTCAAAAATTTTACACATTGTTATAACACCTTCTTGGGGCTTATTATTGTCTCTGTGTAAATTTTACTTCTGAATAAGGTTGTTCCTTTATCAAAATGTAACCATCTAGCCATCATTCTTATTCTTATCAGTCTCAGAGATAACAGCCCATTTGAACAAACTAAAATACCAAGAGTCTTATCAATGGTTAGATAATTTATTCACCAATCATCAAGTTCATCTTTCCTACTTTGTCTAAATTTCTTGTACTTATCAAAAAGTTTTGTTCTTGACATTTCTTTGTCATTGTAGAAGTCTTTAAACATGTCAAAGGTCTTGTTTGCATATTTCTCTAATTTAACAGAGGGTTGAATATTAACTCTTTGTTCTAGATAACTGTCATTCATTTCTAAATCTTTAACAAACATAGGTACTTTTTTTCTATTCTACACAGCAGCCAGATTGCTCAGCCAATTTTGAAGAGTACTTCAACAATGTGTCCCAAGTAAAATCACTTCTCCACAGTCAAATTAAAAAAACTCAATATTACTTTATAGTTATACCTCACATAACTAGATATTTTTTAAATGATAACATTCTTTGGATGCCACAAACTCTAATTAACTACTTAATTTGTTTATTCATGCACAAAACTACCTCCCAGAGATTAGACTAAGTCCCTTTAAGGATTTTAGGCCTCCATGATGAGCTGTTTTGAGTTACAGAAAAAAAATGGAAAAAATCTAAAAGAAGTAAAACAGTTTGCTTCCTTTGTAAAACCTGTTTAAAAAGAGAGAAAGAGAAAGAGAGTTTTAAAAGTCAAATAATTCATAGAAGTAATACAATTATATTTTTTAAAAATATTTTCCCCAAAATAGAGCACTAGTATTTACTGATTGTCCACTGTGTACAAGTTGCTGTACTACACATGGCAGAGGCCAAGAAATCCAAGACAAAAACCAGAGAGCTCAAACGGGGAGCCAGTAGAGGTATTATGTTTGGCTTACACAGAATTAACTATAATATTTTACTAATTTTTAAACTTTTTTATTTTAAAATTAACTTATACTTAGAGAAACCTTACAAAAATAACAGTTCACACATACCATGTACTCAACTTCCCCAAAGGTAACATCTTACATAACCATAGTACAATTATAGGAACCAGGAAATTAGCATTGATACAATGCTGTTAATTAATCTGTATGCCTTGTTTGAATGTCACCAGTTTTCTAAATAAGTATATTTTTGGACCACAGTATTGTTATTTGTTAATTTTTTATACCTTTTTAATGATTAGAGAGAGAGAGAAACATCAATGTGACAGTGAAACATCGATCAGTTGCCTCCCACCCACACCTCAACTGAGGATCAAACCAGCAACCTGGGCACGTGCCCTGACCAGGAATGGGACCAGTAACCTTTACGGGACAATGCTCAACCAACTGAGCCACACTGGCCAGGGTGGGACCACAGTATTATTAAATGTTTTAGTTAATTACCAACATTTTTTAAAAGTAAGAGACTTCCCATAACATTCCCTAGTTTAGAATGTTAGAAAAATGAGAAGATCTGGCCACATGGGGTCTACATTCCTGCATGGCAACAACCAGCCAGCTCTGAGCAGGACTGCACCTTGAGGAGAGGGCACGTGCTCTCCAGTTTGGTGCCGTACGTTCACTCCTTGGTATGGAGACTGACTGTCAGATGCTATTTGTCATTGAGCTGGCTCACTGATTTCTTATAGTAGAATTATGAGGAAAGTGCAGCTGTATCTATCAAAAGTAACACAATGAAAGGGAGACAGAGAGGAACACATGTTTAGAGAAAAATGAGAATACCATATTTCTTTGTGGAAAAGAAGAACATCCCTTCATGTTTACATATGTGTTTTTGTTTAAAAGAGATACCCACAGTTTTGTTCATTTATACCACTTGCCTGGCCCCTATGTGTTTGAGATCACAAATCCCTTAAACGAGGGGTGGGGAACATCTGGCCCATGGGCTGTCTAAGGCTCTTGAAATCGTTGGGTCTGGCCCTGCCAAGGCATTAGGAGTGAGTTAATTAAATGTTTGACCAGATATAGTGGCTAATTTTTAAATTGATGATTTTGTATGGCCTGTGAATGATGTTATCCAAATGGCCCTTGGCAGAAAAAAAAGTCCCCTACCCCTGCCTTACCCAGACCTTACCTAAAGAAGCTTTGGTGTGGAAAGAAGGCATATGTTTATGGAAAATTACAATATATACACACAAACATGCCAAGATGCAACCCTGGATCAGTTCAAACTGTCTTAACCATTTCCAACACCTAGACTTCCAAATGCTGCTGGGGAAGATCTGCAGCCTTGCAGACCGGGACCAGCATGACTTCAGGCACCACCGTGGCTGGCCCGTCACCATTCCTAGCAATTCTACTTGCCCCTGGTCAGCTCCTATCCCACTGCCCTGCGCAACTCTCCTAAACCTTCAATGTCCTCACATTTCTCCTCCACTGCTCTCCATCTTGCTTTCAGTAGGTAGCTTTGCCTTCTATTGCTCACGACCTACTTGCTACTTCAGATAACAACCCTTGCCCCTTGACATGCCCCCCCCCACCCTCCGCCTCAGAAATCTTGCTCTTAACCTCATCCCCCTCATTTGTTCAACTCTCACTCTCTACTGGCTCTTTCCCTTCAATATAACAAGCATGCTTAAGTCTGTCCCAGCTTTCAAGTAAAAACAAACCAAAAAAATCCTCTTTGAACCCCCACTTTCCACTCTAGCAACTATCCTGTTAACTCACCTTTTCACAGCGAAGTGAATTGAACAAGTGTCTCTGGTTAAGGTCTCCCACTATAATTGGCTTTAGCCAGCACCACTTAAAACTAACCTCAATATTTATAAAACCAGCTTCTTTGCCAAAACCAATGGAAACTGTGTTTTACCCTGGAGCCCACTTCCTCTTAAAATTCTCTGTTCCCTTGGATTCTGATACCACTGTATTAGATTTCCTCTTTCCTTCTCGGTTTGGCTCAAGTCCCCAACCTCTTCTCTTTTTACTCTTGTCATTTCCCGTGAGCAACCTCTCTGAGCCCGGGGCTACTGGGTGTCTCCCCCGTCTTGGGCACTTAGTGTATCCATATCTCCGACAGTGTAGGATATATTTGCTTTTTTTTTTTTTTTTTTTTTTTTTTTTTTTGCCTCTCCCGAAACTGTGAGCTCCTTCAAATCAGAACTATGTTTCAACTTTGTACCAGCTCTCCCAACCACAATATCCACCCAGCCTGGCATATAATGCAGACACTAAGACTTTTTGTTGAAGAAATGAATGTTGGCAAACTTGACCGAGTCCCCCCATAACCACAATACCCTCATTTGCATAGTATGAAGGATATCAATGTTATATTAATGACCACAAAGTCTGCACAGTGATGGTTCAAAAGCAGGCTTTGGAGTCAAACATCTTGGGTTCCCAATACCATTCAGTCTCCCCCCACTAGGGTGTGTAACCTTGGGCAAGTAAATCTTCCTGAGCCCCGAGTTTCCTCCCTGTCAATAGAGCTAATTATGGTAATTGCTTCTTAAGATTGTGGGAACACCTGTAAAGTCTTCAGAGGAGGTGCTAGCATAAACAGTGGGGCCTTGACTTACGAGTTTAATTCGTTCCGAGACCGAGCTCGTTAAGGAGCTCGTTAACTCAAATTACTCTGTCAACTCAATGCAAAAAATCGGTGGAGAGACAGCTGGTATCTCAAAAAACTCGTTAGTCGGGACACTCGTAAGTCAAGGCCCCACTGTACTAGGTATCAGCAACACCTAAGGTTAACAATAAATAACAGCAAACTAAGTTAATACTATTGCTAGCATAAGGCAAATGCCACTAAAATTAAGAGCACTACAGAATTTCCATACTGATCACCAGGAAAACTATCAAATATCGGCTTCCTGCCACCACTTGGGACCATTCCTGCATTTATTCATTCAATATTTTACTCTGACCTTACGATGCTTCGGGCTCTGTTCTGAGGCGTGTCTGGCGTATATACTCAGAGACCTGGGGATACCTCTTGGCGAGCAAAGTAAACCAAATTGCAAAGCTTCCCCAGTCCACTGGCTCGCCCCACAAGTACAACAGAACGGAGCACCCGGCGGGAGGCGGACGGAAAGTGAGCGCGGGTGAGGGCAGCAGCGCGCCCAGGAACCCTGCGGCCCGCGCCCAGCCCCTCC